GAACAGTGATACAATATTCTTCACACTTAGAATGTTACTCTTTTATGTATTCAGAAACAGTTTAGGAAGATCAAGCACATGGTTCAGATACTTTTGTGATGGAGAACTCTAAAATCAGAGGCCCTAGGCAGCTGCACACTTTTGTGTCTTCTTTCATGCATTTCATGGAACAAAGTTAAAAAAACAGAAATGGTTTTACACATAGTTTAGAATTTGATTTTATGTATCAAGTTCTGAAAACCTGTGCTGTGGTACGCTACGACTCATGTCATGTGCCACAACTGCTCCAGATAATTCCACTGATGAGAAGTATTGTTTTTCTATTTCTGTTCGTGTTACCTTTAACAATGGAACCGCTTTTTGGATTTACATATCTCATAAAATCATATACTTTGAAGGGTGATGTTGGAAAGCAGAACTGTGCCAACACAGTGACATTTTCCACTCTCCACACTTCAGCACTGAGCTACCCCAATCAGCTGTCCCATCAATGAAATCAGTTAATAAGAATTTGTCTGTATAGGAAGGTTTTAAAATCCTTTTGACAGTGGCAGTTTTTGTAAAAGTACAAAAATACTTTCAATAATATTCAGTTTTTATTCCAATATCAAGCAATGCATTGATACAATTCAACAATAAGTTAATTTTGATTAATCAACAGATTTAACAAAAATATAGTTAAGCAACATACTAATTACACATTTTCTTAAAACTGTTGGAGAAACTGCATATAGAATCCGGATCCAAGTGTACAACGTCGTTTACATTTCTACTCATGGCATACATACATGTACGTGGAAGTCAAAGCTCACTATCTCTGCCAGTGACAATAAACAAATAAATTTCCTTTGCTAATGAACTAACAGTACCCTAATTACTTCCTTTCTTTCCAAATTCATAAGCCTAAGGTACCTGTAAAGTTCTTGGCAAAACCACTTGTACACAGTGCAAAAAGACTAATGTCACTGGTCTGTCATCAACTTAATATGATAAAATGAAGCTGAATTCCTAAATTTAGTACATGGACACATACATGCTATGACTTGCAGTTTCATTTCCATGTGTCAAATGAGAATGCAGTATACTTAGAATGAGGTCAGACCATTAAATAACCAGACCAATATCACGGTGTCGCTCAGCAGTTTTGTGTCAAACAGCCATTAGGATTAACTTCATTGTGTGTAGTTTTCTTTGTTTGACAGAAAGTGAGGAGAAAAGAAATTTTCTCGGACTTTCAGCAAGACTGTTGAGAAAACCCAATATCCATAATAGAAGAAGTCACTGGTGATGAGTCTTGGGTATTACAGCATGACCAAGAAACAGAATATGAAAATCTCCAATGGAGGAAAAGTCCAGAATCTTCGACACCACAACAAACACAAGTCAAATTCAAACATCAACACCATGTCATCTCCCTTTCTATATTGAAGGACACAATAAATGTTTATTGTGGTGCACTTGATGAAAAAGACCAAACAGTTGGCCAGAAAAGTGGATGCTTTATCACGACTATGTTCTTTACCACAGCACTTCTCTGTGGGATCTCACTCCCACTCCCCCCTCTCAAAACCAATGATGTAATATCTATGACAATTATCTGATTTTCCCTGTGTTACTTTATTTATTTGCCCACAACTATGGATCTCCTTGAAATGATGTCACCTGAAGCAATATGACGACAAAACTGAAAGGACTTTCAGAAAATTATTTCCATCCATGTTTCCACATACTGCAGAAACGGTGGAGTGCATGTATAGTCTGAAGATAAACACACCCACTGGAGGATAGTAACACTATATCCCAGGATTATTCAGCATAATTATCTGACCTCATAACCACAATTCATTAAGATTTTACAGTCACAACATAAAAATCAATAATATTCTTATAAAATGGTAACAAAAGCTAGCATCAAAGTTAAGTTCAGAAGTTGCACATACTGCTGCAATTCATTTTAAAGCGCTCTCTTAAAATTTACTCAGTTCCTAATGTGCTGATTAAGTAGTTATTTTAGATAAATAGACATAAATTCCTGTTTCTAACTTAAATGTAGACTACAGTGAATGAACATATACGTGTATGTTATGTTATTGGATAAAACACAACAATAATATAAAATAAGCTTTAAAAAGAACAGTTTTAAAATCACTACAGCACAAATTCCCCTATCTAGCAACAGTTTCTTTTTGGTTGTGATTTATACTGCTTCTCTCTAAGATGATGTATGAGGGTAAGTCAATAAGTAAGTTACAAATTAATACAGAACTTAAACAAATAAGAATATTGATTTGGAAAATGCTTTTATTTCTCGACATAATCTCCCTGTACACTGAGGCACTTGTCCCATCGTTTCACAAGCCCCTGAAAACCAGCAGCATAAAATTCTTTGGGCTGCTGTCAGAACCAAGCGTGTTCACACGGCAAGGCCTACCTCATAATGCACGACAGGTTAGGTTTTCACAAAGTCTGCGCACGATGAGTGCCACGCATGCTGACCCCACAACACAAAATGCAGAGAATGGGTCTAGCATTACAGCATCTCAATCGCTACCACGATGGACAGGATATGCTAGCCCGAACTGTCACAGGTGATGAGTGTTGGGTTCACCATTACCAGCCCAAGACAAAGCCTGTGTCAATTTAGTGGAAACATCCTTTGTCATCTGCCAAAGAAAAAGTTTAAGGTGACGCTCACAGTCTTCTGGGATCACGATGGCATACTGCTCACCGCATTCCAGCCTCAAGGACAAACCGTAAATGCCGACTCCTAGTGCAACATCCTCAGGAAACTTCGTAAAGTCGTTCAACAGAAGCATGTAACCTGTCATGCATTATGAGGTAGGCAACGCCGTGTGAACACGCCTGGTTCCGACAGCAGCCCAAAGAATTTTGTGCTCTTGGTTTTCAGGGGCTTGTGAAGTGCCTCAATGTACAGGGAGATTATGTTGAGAAATAAAAGCATTTTCCAAATCAGTAGTCTCATTTGTTTAAGTTCTATATCCATTTGTAACTCACTTATTGACTTGCCTATGTATATGAACTTGGACCAGTTCATTTACAACCCTATCATCTTCATAAACAACTTATGTATAAACATTTTATGTCAATAGTAAAGAATTAATTTTGTTATGTATAACTGCTTCAAGGAATCAGAACAAAGCAATTGAAAATTATAATAAAGTAATGATAATATAAAACTAATACCTATTTCCTTTATTAAAAGCATGCACAAATTATTTCTCCTTCAACAAGAGCAAACACTACTACTTAAATGGTGAACATCTATACAGGGTTTAGTCACAAAATCTCAAGTCTAAATTCAGGCCTGCATTGACAGCCACCCAGCATGACACATTCATGTCAAGGGTGCCATAAAGTACCCTGGCATTGAATGTTTAAAGTGACTTCACATTCAAAAGGGTAAGAGAATTACAGAGTGTCATATTTTATAGCATGTCTAATGCACTCTCATTTCTCACTGTGAAAAGATGATCATGATGATACATTTCCTTCTTATGCATAAATGAGGGCATAGAACAAACTTTTTGTCACTGAGGTGTAAGAAGTGTTAGCAGTATCAAATCCATAGTGAGTGGGAAGACATTGTATTCATGATAGTTCAGTATGAATCATTCTCGGACATTGCTATATGTCATATATTCTATAGTATAATCTTGCAGTCATGCAAATGCAATGGGCAAGACACTGTGTTGCACCAAAGAAATGTGGTAAGCATAACATGAAGACTGAGCTAATAAATACATAAAAGTTTAAACTAAAAACATTAGCTATATGAGAATTTAGGTCCTCATGATGGCAAAGAGATATGGATTATGACACTGCTGTCTGGTATGAGTTACCAATTTTTGAAGGAACATGCTGCGTTCACCTTCACAACCCTGATGAAGGAAGTTAGTTTCAGTTTTAAAAATATGTCAAACAGACAGTGATATTCTCTACAATGAACTATTTTCATGAATTCTAACATAAGTCATATATAAGTACCCTGGACATAATGTGCATGAATTAAGCATAGAATTATCTTAAGATTGATTATGCCTGTCATCACCAAAGGTTTTAGTGTTACAAAAAATTAAACAACTTCGGAAACATTCCATATGGACATCAGAGGTAGCCAAGCACTGGGCTAGAGGCAGTTAATACTGAGCTAACCTTAGTTACCTGTCTGTATGTCTAGAGACATATTAATACTAAAGAGCCTATAGCTAAAGCACATTAAATATACAAAATGTTAATTCTACACTGATAATATTGGAGATGCGCAGCTCTGGAGGAATCAGTTGTAGAAACATACCATAATTACACCTTAGTGTTTGGCAGTCAATGAATTGTACAACTCACTGATACTATCAATTCACATGTCCATGGTATCAAGAGACGTAAGAAAGGGTACCAGATTCTTGCCAACCTCACAGCAAAAGCCTCATATTACCTCAACTTTGCTGCTAGAAACTACATGTCTAAAATATGACTTTGCTTGTTTATGAGCAAAGTAATGAAAGGATGTAGCAGAGTAAATCACAATTATCCCATCTATATGCTAATATTGCATTACATTTGCACAAAAAAGCAACTGCACCCACTGTAAATAAAGAAGACAACTCTCTCCCTCTCAGTATTTGAAATTTCTCCACACTTTAATATGCATGTCATGTGTATTTTCCTTAACTGAAGTTGACATTTGCCAGGCTCTTTTAGCCTGAAATGACAATATGAAAAGAACTTAAAAGAAATCAAAGCTAAAAGCTGTAAGAACATAAAACAATACAAGGGGAGAGGAGAGATCATACAGTACATTAATGAGAAGGACAACATAGTGTATACATAATAAAATGGAGGAAAGCTCCTGCTCTTCTTATTGAAAATTTCACAAATTACACTGGGGCAAACCCAGTTTCACTATCATACATTGTACCATCTGCACTATACATTTTGACAGAGTACTTTTGAAAAATACTGTCCCAGAAATGAGTCATGTGAAATTCATCCAATCATTGGTTCAGCATAAAACCAGAATCAGATTCAAAGAGAGAGATTGAACTGACAAACAATTTCGGCCCTACTGATACCAAACAAGATTTCAAATCTACCTATTAGGAAAAAAAGTAACAATGACAAAGTTCGAATGTTTCGAATGTAATGTGGTGTTGTGTGTTAGTCTTTGCTTCAAGCTATACCACACCAAACTATATTTCTGAAAAACGTTTGACAATACACAAAAAACAGCAAAACAAATAAAAACAAGTAATAATTGTCATTAATACACTGACATTTATTGAATAAATTATCTTACATGAAATTATGAAGCTAAAGAGATGTAGATTTTATGGAAGAGTTGATAAGGTCATTCTGATATCTTGAACAAAGTAACAACAGCTGCTTGGAGAGAACATAAACATTCCAAGATTTCTGCAACCATCAGGGTAAAGTTAGTAAGTAAAATCACTAATTCAACAACAAACAAACCTCTGACAGTCTTTGAAGCATAGAGAACCATTTTAGAGACATACTGTAATAAAATTTTTGTTTTTGCAAATATATAATTTTTAGTAACAACATAACTGGATAATGTATTCCAATTTGGTCGGTTACAGATATGTATCACAGGAAATAAATTCCCTTTAGACCATTAAGGGTTACGCTATTACATAAATGGTACATGCAGATCTAAAAATTGTATGTAAGAGTCTGAGCATCAGCATGTTAAGAGGAAATTCTATAGACCTACATGAGATTCAGTGAAATGATGTGTCTAATTCAGATTATGCACTGAGACATGCCATTCTTCTACTCTGCACCACCACCATCCTCAAGCTGTCAATGAGCTGAGTCATCTGTTGACCCATTCTGGCCTCATTTTTCTATACATACATACATTACATTCCGTAGATCCAAAGTAAGTCAGAATGACTGTAGGATGTGGAACAAGTCATACAAATACAAAAGCCATAAATACAGTACAATTGAGACACAACAAAAAAAATACATCCATATATATCTATATAAGTCAATACTGTCAACTTATGCTATGTAGATAACCTTTTAAGAGGACAAGTCTTTCAAGACAGTAGGAATTCAGCAACAGAGTAGAATGACTGTATATTTCAGTGCTAATTTAAATTGTGCCTTTTCATTCATTAGACTTTTGAGACTAGATGGTAGATTGTTGGAAATTTGAAAGCCAGAATAATATGTGTTTTTCTGAAATAATATGTGCTTTTCTGAAAACAGGTCAGGTTAGCAACTGGTCTATGGAGATGGTGCTTGTTTCACGTGTTAACACTGTGTACATCCGAATTAGTGTGAAAACGTTCTTGGTTATTTATAATGAAGCTTAATAATGAAAATATATATTCACATGGAATAGGTAAGATCCGTAATCTTCTAAATAGCTCTCTACAAGAATTTTGAGGTTTTACACCCACCATTATTTTAACAATTTTCTTTTGTAATGTATCGTAATGTAGGTCTCATAATGGCTCTTGGCTTCCTGTTCCAGTCAACCTGTATTTTGTTACTCATCTGGTGAGTCCATCTCTATGCATTCTGTCAACACAGAAAATCCATTCTTTCCTAGCCCAAAATTTTCATCAGTGCAGCTTTGGTCTTCAGATGACATAAAATGTGAATGGTATCTCAGCAACTGTTACTCTAGCTCTGTCAATAAGCCTTAGGCCTTTAATGTCCAACTTCACTTCCACAAGGGAAATATTCTTATTATTATTCTCATGGCTTAAACACATTATATTGAAACCACAGCAGAATTATGGCTTATAATAAGGACTCCACTGTAGTAACAAAACCACAGGAACCATCAGCTTCTTAAAGTTGTAGAATGAGGGCTTTCTTCTGGCACATTCATCACAATGAGTGATTCTTAACTAACCACCACTGTTTTCCCACAACTTTTTGCACCAACTATACCTGCAAATTTACTTCTGAAGTTATTTACAACTAGCCACCCATTAAGGTCCTCATAACCCACCCTTTGTCCTACCCTTGTCTAGAACAAAGTTGACATTCCAAAATCTAATTGTGAGCAGCTTACCCCATCTAATTTCTAACAACTGAGATATTCACTACATTGTGCAGTATGAAGGGGGACCCAAAAAAAAAACTGGAATTTGTTTCTAAAAGGAGGGGCACTTGTAGTACAGGCTTCCACCACTAGGTGGTTATTTGCAGCAGCTTCCTGTATCAGTATGCTGGCTGGCGTCATCAGAGAAGTTGGTGTTAGTGTTTGGTGAATATTTTTCCAAGTGACTTTTTTATAATCTATTTATAATGGCTGATTCACACGAAAAATGTGCTGCCATGAAGTTTTATTTCCTTTTGGGGTAAACAGCAGCACAAACGGCTGTTATGGTACAAACAGCCTACAAGGAAGCCATCATGAGTAAAACACAAATTTGTGAATGGTTCTCCCATTTCAAACGTGGTGAAATGTAAACTGATAATCAACCTCAAAGTGGACATCCTTCAACCAACCGAACTGATGAAAACGTGACAAAAATTTGTCAAAATCATTACAGAAGATCGCCGGAATTATTTGGAAGTTCTGAAAATGTTGCGTAAGAGTTTAAGGAGAAAACGTCCCAATTTGTGGCAAACACATGACAATGTGCCTGCCCACATAGCGCTGAGTGTGCAGCAATTTTTGACCAAAAGTGGCATGACACCCTTGCCTCACCCGATCTTGCCCCATGCGACTTTTTTCTATTTCCTCAGATGGAAAGAGACCTCAAGGGAAAACGTTTTGCTGATGTTGTAGACATAAAGAAAAACCAATGGAAGCACTAAAAGGCATTACCACTGATGAATTTAAAAAAATGTTCTGAACAATGGGAAAAACGTTTGGACAAGTGCACTGAATCAAATGGAGAGTGTTTTGAAGGGGATTAACGTTTTGCTATGTAAAAATAAATAGAATTTTTTATAAACAAATTCCGTTTTTTTTGGACCCCCTCATATCTTCCCCTCTTTATTACAAAGGTTTCCTCTTCTTCTGACCTAAGTACGGGAATGATGTCAAAGAACACAACTACCTACTTTTTTGGTGTGAACTGCAAAACTTTGAAAAGCCACAGTTACGACAATGAAATGGTACAGCTTTGACTCGAATATGAACTAGAAATCATAAGTTCATATGAAGTTGGCAGCTCATCAAAATGTGAAATAGGAAGGCAGAATGGATTTACTTTTTCAACACTGCATACGACATTGAAGAACAAAGAGACAATACTGTATACACTAAACATAAGAAAACTAAAACTATTCCTTTCTTTCACGAGGATACAGTGGTGAAATCTGTCTCACTAACTCAGTTTGTGAACTTGTGATGAACATGAGATGAGAAGATGAGATCTGTCATAGCTGTGGGAACTACAGATGGTATGGATCCTATCCAGGTATCTTATAACCAGGGATACTTTCATTACCTTAGTTTACATACCATTACCATTGCATGCATTTTACAATTCAGCATGATTAACTTACAACCATCAATTATATATACTCAGATATTGCCAAAAACTTCGTGTAATCAAACTGTGGCATTTACAACAAGTGATGTAATGTATTGTGACGTGGACAGTGCAATGCTCAGTAAACACCCCCTTCCACAGTGATGTAACAGAATAGGAGCCGCTGCCGCTGCAACGGTAACAGGCCAGTAAACACCCCCTCCCCGTGGTGACGTAACAAGGGACACCTCTGTTAACACAGGGCAACAGGGAACGGTATAAATGGCCGGCAGAGCAGTGTGAGATTAGGAGTGACACAGTGTGGATCGTGAATTCGCCAAGAGTAGTGGAAATAATTGTAATACTGCCGATGGCAGTAATTGGGAGATTGTAAATTGTGTAAATGTAAGGGTGAGTGGAATACATTCACGTGATCCAAGAAGGCGTGAAGTTATTTGTTGTGTTACATACCAAACACATGACAGTACGTATATATCCATGTGATTTACACTGCTTCATGTGTTACATCTATTACTCAAGTTCAATACAAACCATAGCATTTGCTTTCAGATGCATGCACATGCAGCAAGTTATGGGCAGAACATGAGCAGGACATGTATGCAGTGAAATGTGAGTGAAATGCGAGTGATTCGTGCTTGTGGGCATGCAGAAGATAGTGGGCAGGATTTCAGCTAAAAGAGTATGGCTCCTAATTTGCAGTCAGATTTGAGCAAAAGATATATATATGTTTAATAAAATCTTTAACTTTTCAGTTCAGATAATGACACTGACCAGAATGGTGAATTATTCTTCATTATTCTTATATTCCCCTGATGATCAATCTAAAGAAGATGAAATACTGTCATACCTTCATTGTTATTCAAACCCTAGTACCATATTGTGTTACACATAATGGGAAGTTAGTGGAAACACTTGCAGTTACATATTTCAACAATTTCTGGATATTATGAATATCCATTACAATCAGCATTTTTAATATCAAGGTTCCACTGAATTTTACTGTGCTTCAACTCTAAGCCTTCTACTACAGATAACAATTTATGAAGCTCTCTTGCAATAAAAATAGTTCATGTTTCAAACATGAGACATATTTCAACGTACAACTGTACCAATGACTGTCATATCTAATAAAATATACAACTCCCTGTCAGAGATACTCTGCATTGGGAGCTGTTAATGGCATGTTTGAGTTATCACTTAAGATTGTCATATCTTCGAATATGGATCAAATTTAAGTTCCAAGATCCCAATGGACTTAGAAAAAGAAAATTGACATACTCATTTAACCTACTGACTACTGAGTCCTACCAGAAAATCACCTGGTAGAAAAATGAAGGCTGCTTGAGGGTTCATGCAGTTTCACCGAAAAACCCACAATACTTCTTCAAATCACCTTCAAATTACAGAAGGTGCAGGTCATGTGAAAGCACATTCTTTCCATTAAACCTAAGTGTCTCACTCCTGATGTCAGACACAGTCACGTGGAAGCGCATTCTTTATATTCAACATCAGTATCTCACTCCTGTTGCCAGCAGGCATAGGTCATGAGAGAGCCCATTCTTCTCATTAAACATCAGCATCTTACTCTCGATGCCATCTAGTGACAGAAATGCTATGCTAATTGATTAACGAGCTGACCTCTGACCGTGGTAGTTTTAATGCAAGTGTGCCAAATCAATCTAATCGTCATGTGGTGTGGGAAGAGTTAATGTTTCTCAATTAGTTTTCACCTTTTATGAACCCAACCAAATCCACTCATTATTAAAATCATCCTACACAAAGTTTCCCTGTGTTTAGTGTTCAACACCTTTACCCCATGGAGACTAGATGTAGTTACAAGCATAGGTTACTCGTTTACAATACATATATATACAGTTATAATGTAAACACCAAATCACTATTTTTTGTCCATGCTGACTGTCAGCAAGTTCTATGTCCATTTTGTGAATCATATTATAACAGTGATGTTAGAAAATTCTAACAGTGATAAAAAAATTAACTTCCAACATTAGAATGTAACATGACAATCTTCTTTGCCAACTGTTAGTCATGAAGCCATCTTTCAGTTCTAGAAGCAGGTTGCAACAAATTTTAAGACACTTTCAATAGGAATCTCTTAGGCAATTATTTCAGTATTAAAGGCAGCTTAGGTATATCATAGTTACAGTGCTAAACTGTCATGTAAAATTGTACTTGGCTGAACATTATATAAGCTGTATAACATATGTAATTAGGCATAATGTTTGACAGGACAACACACATACTGTATGAAATAAAAACTCATATCTTGTATGGTACTATTATCACTGTTGTGTAAAAAGTATATTCCTAAAAAAATATACGTCATTTCATTAGATGTATTAGCACACAAATGACAATCAAAAATTGTATTCATCTCTTTGTATAAGACTATATTGGACATTACCAGGTTTAGTATATTACTGAAAAAAAAAAAGGCACTTCCATTCTAAGGAAAGAAATCATTGAACACTTGGCATTACAACATATGGCATTAAACACTGAATAAGTTACATAATTACTTATAACCTGATGGAAGGTAATATCAGCATTTTGGAAGTGAATGAGATAATGGAGATTACTAGATGAAATCCAGCATAATTGTGCTAGGATAAATGCATACAGCTGGGTGAGATTTCATTCACCGCTTCATCTTGTCAAGAATAGGCAAAACCATATCAAAAGTTGGTCTTTTGCCAGAATCTTCATTCATACAAATTCGAATCAGCTTGGCAAGATGTGTTGAGATTCCAGGAGGGATGGTTATTCGCAAACCTTCCAGGGCAATCTGTAAATAATATAAACTAGCTTAATAATTAGTTTTGATACATATGAAAATAATTACTTAAAAACTAAGTAAACACAATAATTCAGGTACCTCTCATGTGTGAGAAGCTTTCACCTGGTGATGCCTAAGAAGCTGTCCATTTCCAAATTACTTCCTGTGAATTCAACACTAAATAGTTGCTCCAGTTACTACACGAGGGTGATCATCTTTCTTGAGTTCATTCAAAATACTCATATCAACATTGTAGCTCCGTTACATACACATTTCAATTTCCGCACTAAACTGACTGGTGATGCAATGTTCCCATGCCAGACACACAGTCTTCCCCACTGAGTAATAAAACAAGTTTTTCATCAAGGTCATCAAAATACATGGCTGATAATATTTCTTTGCCTGACATACATCAGAACAGTAATATAAAATGGAAATTCTTGTACAGTATCTTTGCCTTGTAATTTGCAGATAAGACTGGAAAACATTCTTGAAATACTATATTGTCGCGTATCGGGCGTATATCGCGACAAATAAATTCTCGATGTATTTGATATAGCGAATTTTATTTCACATCCGCTCTCACAATCACCCAAATTACAATCTGACGATTACTGCTATCTGCAGTATCACAATTAGTACACTGAAAAATGCCACAATACAACTGACTAGTTGCTGGCTAACTCGGCGGTAGCTCCAGGACTCGCTGACTGTCTCAGTACAACTGACTCGGCGACTGTTACAGTACAACTGTATTAGGCGGCTGCTACAGTAGAACTCGCTGGTAGTCACATTAGAACTCTCCTCATACCGGCACTGCAGCTCACTTATATAGCCGCAGAATTGCCTGTTACGTTCCACATCACAGTAGGAAGCAGTTCCGCGTCACCGCGTGATGTCACCGCGGAGGGGAGT